ATTGCAACTCTGGGTGAGTCATAGAAAATCAGAACATCGTCTGCATATAATAATTGAGAGACCCCATAGTTCGATATAGAGAGAAAAGTTGTAGTTAGGGAGCCAATATTAAAGGCCTCCTACAACTGTTGACTAAGAAAATCTACAACAATTAATAATGAAGAAGGAGATAAAGGATCATCTTTTCACAGCCCTTGCTTGCTTCTGAAATAAGCCCTAGGCAAGCCATTAACCAGGATGGAGAAGCTAGGCATGCTAATATAATGCTCAACCCAGGTTATGAACATATCAGGAAGCCCAAAGCTTGCAATCTCTTCAACGCAAAGTCACAGGATACCCAATCATAGGCGTTGCTAGGATTTAACTGGAAGCCCATGTTGGGTCTAGCAGCTAGTTTGTGGCATCATCATCATCATCATCATCATCATCGTCAAAGCCTTTTCTCAATTAATTGGGGTCAGGCTACGCGAATCCTGGTCCGCCATTTTACTTTATTAAGGGCCAGACCCTTAGTGAAGCCACACGACATGTAACACTAGGTAGCCCTCTGGGAAGCGGCCCTTTTGGATAAGGATATATGACGTGTACATGTGCAGAAGAGACGACTCCTTGCAATACTGGACTATGTTGGAAGGATCTGTTAAGCATAATGCTGAAATGGGGCCCAGACTTGTTCTCAGGGAAGGATCTGTAATCCATGGACTAGGATCGTGTCTCCTTCACTTATTGGTTGACTTTGATAGTCAAATCATGAACCCTTGGGAAGGGCAGTGGGTCATGGGAACTATTGGGCCAGTTTGAGATGGTGCAGTGAGAAACGATCTCTAGAAAAGATGGAGTCCTTAGTATATTTGTTGTAAACATAACTCTATGGATCCTATTTCCATCAAATCTCTTTGAATACGTTTTAATTATTTTTGGATAACAAAAAATAATTTTTTGGTCCTCTTTGGGTATTTTATTTTATTGAAAAATGATTTTTAAAGAGAAAAAATTATTTTTTGGATTTATTTTAATTAGATAGAAAAATAAATTATTTAATGACAATATAGAATTTATTTGATTATCTAAGAATTACTTTTAATATCTTGGGGGCCCATTGGATTTTATTGGGCCCAACAATTAGTGGAGCGTGGGGCCCACATGGCTACCCATGGGGTAGGGCGTCCCACCTTCTGTTCTTCTTTCTTAAATTGGTTTGATTCTAATTAAGCCACATGTTGACTTGAGAATATTAGGAAAGTGTGGTGTAGATATTTTGATTGATTTCAAAAAGGGAAAGTGTAAGAATTAATTTATTTGATTTAGTACTTTCTCTACATAATATTTTGAATGGAATAAAGTTATGGAAACTGAGGCTTAATGGTTCCACCTCATTCCTTTAATCGTGATGGCTAATTTAAGGAATGAATGGATGAGATCTCTTCACCCATATGTCTTCAAGATCAATGCTCAAGATTAAGTCTCATAATGATGGAAAAACCCTAACCCTATAAACCCTAGCTTTTATTCTATGTAAACTAGCTATGGGGGGACTCATTCTCTACACACTGATCTCAATCTCTCTCTCTCTCTCTCTTTGAGCCTAAAGGGATGACATGTCCCTCTGAATTTGCTCTCTATCTCTCTCTTTCTAAATTAGGGTTTAGGAAGCATAATAAACTCTAAGGGGTTGCATGCCCTAGCCACGACACCCTAGCCTTACAGTTTGTCCTTATACTCATGTGTTGAGCTTTAGTCTAGGCTATCCCATGTCTTACTCTCTGCTGGTTTTGCCTAAGCTTCTCAAGTTGTGAGACAAGTTCTTGAACTCAGATCCCGTGTGCCATTGGTGGAGGAGACCCCGCTGGGGTATGCTAAGTCCTTGGGGGTAACATGAGGCAAGATATATAGTAATTTCCTTGCTCATGCTCTTTTGATTCAATTGCATCTTTTATGAAATTTTCAAATCTATGTTATGAATGTAATTTTGTTTTAATGGCAAGCAAGTGAGAGTCCTTGAGATTTTTTTTGTTTTATATATGGTATTTGGATACTCGTGAGTGATTCAGGTGACAATATAGGAAAAAAAGATAGAAATTTTTTAATCAGTATTGACTTGCCCGGTCACGTAGTCCACCTTTTAGTGTACATATATGCAAAAAATGGCTACCCATAACTTGGGAGCGCCCGGCGATGAGCAAAAAGTTATACAAGCAACATGGACAAAAACACCGCAGAAACAGAGGGACTCTAAGAGGACCTGTGGCAAAAAACTTAGTCTACCCCCATAGCTTCGCCTTCTTTAGCGAGTGCGCCTGCCGAGTGGTTGGTTGTGTGCCAAATACCCAATAGACCTTTGTAAACATGCCAATATCAATAATTTCATCAAAAGCTGAAGCAAGACGCTAGGGTGGGGTGGCCTCACCCGAAGCTCATGAGATAACATTGGAGGAGTCTCCCTCTACAATTAGGGAGGATCCCCAAGAGGGGTTGAAATGTTTGAGGCCTATTAAGAGAGCGAGAGATTCCGCTAAGGTGGAATCAGCTCGGCCAATGGGTTTAACGAAGGAAAGAAGGATTGTGCCTGCGTGTGCTTTGAAAATTCCCCTGATGCTAGCCGGGCCTGGGTTGCCGAGAGAGCATCCATCGAAATTGAAGTTGATTAGGCCAGGATCTGGGGGACACTAAGGGGAGATGTGGGGGTGCTCTAGGGCTTGAAGGTAAGGATCGATTGCTAATTGGTGAGGAAGTTCGAGGTGGAAAGGCACTTGAATCTGTTGTGATTAGTGGCCCAAAAAACATCGAGGACTCGACGATATCAAATAGAGCTGAGGGGGAGGAGTGGCCACAGAAGATTCTGCGGTTCCACTTATTCCATAGGGGATCAGATGGTGGCTGCTACCGAGGCTCTCCAAAGCAGAATGTCTGATTTGGGCCAAGGGAGAAATTGGGATTGGAGAAGCTGTGGGACATTCTCGTGGGTGACCCATGTCCAGTTGAAAAGGCAAAGGAGATTTCCTCCTTGCAAAGGATGCAGCGGTTGGGGATGATCATTCCCCTTCTTTGGAGCTGGTCCATGGTAAGAGCCCTCTCGAAAAGGGTTATCCAATTGTAAACCTGGATTTTTGTGTGTTGGTTTGAGGGGGGCAATGATCAACCAAGATTTGACAACAATGGGTTGCGGAAGAGAGCTAGTTGGGTGAAGGGAGTCAGGGTGTGGTAGAAAGAGGCCACAGAGAGAGCTCTTGAAGGTGAGGGAAACCAGATAAGCTTATCCGCATCCTCACCGTTGGGGGAAGGTAGAGGCGGCGAAGGAGGGCGGCTAACTCAAGGAAAGATTAGACCGCATTGTCACGAAGGAGTCTTCGAAAGTTGGGCCTCCAAGAAGGTATAGAGCCAAAGGTGTCGAGGAGGTTTGCAATGGTGGCTTGTGGGTCATTTGGGAGGCGAAAGAGAGTGGGGAACGGTTTCCTGAGAGGTGTGTGCCAGTGAATTTTGTTCCCAGCCATGTGGGTGGAACCTAATGCAAGACCTGAACTGTGAGAGGGACCATAATAGTGATCTCCACACGCAGAGGAGTTACTGGTGACCCTTGCATTTGGTGCCCAGGAAGAGGCAGGGAGATGGTGTTTGTGGCATATTACATCTTGCCAAAGGTGACCTCTTTGTATGGCCAACCGCCACCACCATTTGCCAAGGAGGGCCAGATTCATCATTCGAATGCTGCAAATGCCCAGACCTCCTTGTGCCTTGGGTAGGCACACAATCTGCCACCAAAGAAGATGGTATATTCCGGTGTCCCTGGAGCCCGACCATAGGAAGTTTCTCATCAGTTGCTGTCAAAGAGGTAATCCAAGGTACTTGGAGGGGAAAGAGTTGACCCCTCACCCCTACATATTGGCATAGCATCAGATAGGCAGGGGGTTGAGGGTAATGCCAATCATTTTTGACTTAGCCATATTAACTCTGAAGCCTGTAGCCATTTGGAAGCATTTGAGGAAAAGAAGAAGGGAGTCCACCTGCTAATCCGAGGCACCACAGAAAATCAAGATGTCGTCGGCATATTGGAGGTGGAAAGCGGTTGGGCCAGAGTTAGGGATCTTGAAGCCTTCCAGTAGCCCGTGATGGAAGATTCTAATGAGTGTCCTGCTGAAAGCCTCGGCTGCAATTGCAAAGAGGGAGGGGGATAGAGGGTTACCTTGCGCAATCCCCTAGAGGAGGTGAAGTACCCCTTCGGAGAACCATTGATGAGAATAGAGAAAAATGGGTGCCAGATGCAGGGGCTGATCCATTTATGCCTGTTGTTACTGAAAGTATTTGTTTATTTTTCAAACAAATAATTATGTTAGGATACATGGATACCTTTATTTGGCTGCTGTATCAGAGTCGGATACTATGTAAATTTCAAATTTTTTATGTGCTAGCCATATCCATTAGCTGTATCCATGCATCAAAGGAGATATGTCTTTCTCCTGAGTTATCGAGTGAAAACTGCCACTTCTCATAGTGTCCTGCTCTATAGAGGGCCTTCACCCTTGGCACTTCTAGGAACTAAAGTCCCAACTGATTTCCTAGTTCCACTGTAACATTAACCGTCACAGCTGGAATAACTTTGATGTAGATGGTATGCCAAGGTGTTGTCTCAGTGACTAATACTTTGGAGTATTTAGTGTTCTTTTTTCTTTTTGGGGTGGGTGAGCTGGTTCAAACCAAAGTGCATAATGTTGCAGCCCACCCTTATGCACTTACCACTGTGCTCTGATGATTTTCGTGTTAATTTCTTTTCATTATGTTTCCAACAAGTAAGATGAAATTAAAGCTTGTCAAGTAATATATATGGATCACCTTGCATCACATACTTGGACCATGTTATGAGTGAATATCTTGTGGTCCCTTCATTATTGTTATACATCGTCAGTATTTTATGGCACTACATTAAACACTTAGTTCTCCATGTATGTTAAAATTGAATATGCCAAAAATTCATTCTGTGGAAGTTTTGTGGCCTGCTCTTTCAGGTAAGTGAAGAAGTAGAGTTGGCACTAGCAAAGCATTCATCTGGCCAACTTCGGTGAGCTGTGATACTTATGTGTAGTCATAGGCAGGCTTTGGTTCCTTACTAACTGCTAATTCTGAAATATTGAATTTTACGATAGTTTAATCCTAGAAATGGTTGCATTAGTATGATATATGGCAGCAAGTCATGACACATTTGCTAATAAAATCCCTCACAGATTTTGCAGTGAACAGCAGATATACCCGTCTTTGTCAAGAAGCTTGCAACTACAGTTTACGAAGAAGCTATTTCTTCCAATCTTTACTGGAACAAAAATTGAAGGAGAAGACTCGTGTCCTATAGCCATAGAATTGGTTGATTCCTTGACAGGGCAGGTTGTCACTACAGGTCCGGAATCCTCGGTTAAAGCTGAAATTGTAGTTCTCGAAGGAGATTTTGAAGGTGATGAAGAACTAGAGTGGACCTTTGAAGAATTTAAAAACAATGTAGTGCGAGAAAGGGATGGAAAACGGCCGCTTCTCATGGGAGATTTGTTTCTAAATTTGGATAGAGGGACCAGAGTTGTAGGTGAATTGACGTTTACTGACAATTCAAGTTGGACACGCAGTCGTAAATTTAGGCTTGGGGCAACAGTGGCGCATGGTTATCTTGATGGTGAGAGAGTCAAAGAAGCAGTAACAGAATCTTTTATGGTTAAAGATCATCGTGGAGAATGTGAGTTCTTTTTTGGAGCATTTGTACTAATATTGTCTTGATTGGTATGTCTGAAGCTACATTCTTACTACCATTGATTGGTTTTGGAGTTTAGAGCATGCTGGGGATAACTTATGCTGTGTTGCTTCGAAAAAATTGTTTAGCACAAAAAAGAAGAAGAAAACTATCACATAGGTTTTATTTCTCTCCAGTGACATGATAGAATAACCTTTTTTTAAAAAAAGAAAACGATCAAGTAGGTTTCATTTCTCTCCAGTGACATGATAGAATAACCTCTAATATGGAGAAAGCAGGCTTAGCCAGTTTGTCTTCTTCATGCATCATTCCTCCTAGGCACCCTTTCCTGGTGATCTGTAGGTTTGTGATCGAGGATCTTGTGCAAAAACTAACTCTTCTTTGAGGTAATATGTGGCCATATTAAGTAGTGTGTAAGTAATACAAACTATTTAGAAAGGCTAACCACAGGCAGAAGCTCTATACAAAAAGAACAGAATGGGGACTAACAGGCCCCTTACAAAAACTGCCTGTATATCACATCTTAAAAATTAGCCACCAGGACATAGGCTCTTGTACAACAGTGAGACATTAGGGCAAGACGGAGGCATGGAGGTGTTGGGACAGATGGAGGAAGAAAGAAGGTGCCACGGGATGGGAGATAAGAAGGATTGGGTATGTTGAGAAGAAAGATGGGGTATGTTGTGCAAGAATAGAGGAAATACAGAGAGGAAATACAGAGAGGAGAGGGAAGTTAGAAATGGAGCGAGAGAGAGGTGGGAGGGCAGAGGTTTCGAGCTAGCCATGCATCTGTAGTAGAGGTCTCCGGGCTACTCGTTGCTATCCATTTGGGTGGCCCTGAGCTGGTCCAATTCGTCAGTCGCGTAATTGGCTTCCCTGGGCACATGACTGAAGGTCACTCGAAGTCCCCTGCATAAGAAATCATTATGAGCAAGAAGATGTGCCAATCTCCATGAACAACATGTAGAGTCTTTGGCCTAAGTGATGACACTGTATGAGTCTCCCTCCACAATAAGGTGATGGAGAGAGTGATTGGTTTGGCGACCCCATTTGAGGCCTTCAACCAGGGCTATTGTTTTAGCCATTGTGGAGTTGACATGTCCTATGAATCCTGAGGAGAGGAGGATAACTCCACTTGAATTCCTAAGGATACCACTGAATCCAGCAGGGCCTGGTTTCCCTAAGGAGCAGCCATCTATATTGAGCTTGAAATGGTTATCTAGGGGCAGAGACCATGGACAACAGAAGATCAGGAAAGGAGGTTTAAGGGATAAAAGGCCCTTCTCTCTACTTAGTAGAAGACAGATCCCAAGGTGTGTTGGAAGTGTAGACCCTTGGCCCAGTAAGAGGCTTCTGACCTTACAAGACAATTAAGTGGTTGTGTGTGAGAAGCTTTGCCCTTGAAGATCCGACTATTTTTTTCTTTCTACATACCCCACAATAAGGCCATCACTGATGCTTTCCACAGTGGTCTACCCATTTTGGGGTTTGAAGGGGGGACTACTTTTTTCTTTCTACATACCCCACAATAAGGCCATCACTGATGCTTTCCACAGTGGTCTACCGATTTTGGGGTATGAAGGGGACAGCAAGGCCTCAAAATCTGGCTGTTGGGGGTTGAGGTCATCCACGAGTCACCTAAAGATTGATTGTAGCAAGATGGTCTGCAAAAAATGAGCAACCTTGCAATATAGACAGAGGTGGTCAATTGGTTCTTCTCTTTTACACATGAGACATTGGTTAGGGAGATGGTGAGACCTTTTTGGCAAGTAGTTGGTCAGTGTCCTGTCCGAGAGTAGGATCCAGCCAAAGTCTTGGACTTTCTGACAGACCTTGATTTGCCAAACCTTGTGGAAAGTGGGGTGTGTCTTTCGAATAGGTCTTAGGGATGAGTAGGAAGAGGAAACTTGAGTATTTCACAGCAGCCACCATGGCCCAAACCAGTTTATCTTGTCCAGAGTTTGCGAAGAAGAAGCTCTAGAGAGAATTGATGAGGAGACAAGGGCATATGAAACATAGATTGGAAGATAGAGATCTTGGCCGAAGTGCCTTTGATGAGAATTATCCTTTCACCCAAGGAGAGGAACTTGCTTTCCAGCCTGCTAATCTCTTGGTAAATTTCTCAACTATCATCCAAAAGGTGCTTCCTGGTCTTACCAATGCACAAAGGGATCCCAAGGTATATGGGCGGCATACATTCCACCCCAGATTCCAAAACTTGTGCTAATAATTGTGGTTCCCGCAATTCAAACCTTTTTAGCCATGTTGATATCATGCCCATAGCAACTTTGAAACATATAAGGCGTGATAGGTTATCGATCTGCTATGCACCAAAGAAATGATGGTATCATCTGTTTAAAGGAGATGATTGATCTCTGGGCCTCCATTGGCTATGTGGAAACCCTCAAGCAATCTGGACTCATAGACCCAGGGATTGACCAGGAAAAAACCTCCCCAGTCAAGGTGAACAAAAAGGGTGAAAGGGGGTCCCCTTGGCGACTGCCCTGGGATATTTTGAAATAGCCTTCAAGGGACCCATTGATCTAAATGGAAAGCTGAGGTCCCTAATATAGCCCTGCATCCAATTTCTCCATTTCGTGTCGAAACCCACCATAAACATAGTTTCATCTAGCAGACGTGGTCATATCTTTCTCTCAGTCCAACTTAATGACTTCTTGGCACTCACATGTCTAGAGTGCATAGCCTTGTGAGTGACCAAGGCATTGTCAAGGATTTTTCTGTTAGCTATAAGTCGGATTTTTCTATTGGCTACAAGTTTGGGGCTTAGATATAATCTTGTGTAGGACTACCTTAAGTCTAGTAGCTTGGAATTTTTGTGATGATCTTGTAGGTGGAATTAAGAAGGTTGATGGGACAAAAATCCTTAAGTTTTCCACCCCCTTGGTCTTTGAAACCAGGGCAAGGAAGATAGAATTTCACACTGGTGTGAATTCTACTTTTATGGTGGAACTCTTAAAAAATGCAAAGATGTCCCGGGCCATTAAGTGTTAGAACGTTTTGAAGAGATGACATGGAAACCATCTAGTCTAGGGGCCTTGTCTTAGCCTAGGTCCTTAACCACTTGGAGGATCTCATCTATTGAGAAATGCCTCTCAAGCCAAATGCCATCTTCAATTGATAGAGTCCTTAAACTCAGGTAATTCATTCTAGGATGAGGAACCGAGCTAGGGGAAAAGAGGTTTCAATAGTATGGAATGATGATGCTGATTACTTGTTGATGGTCAGTGAAATTCTATTCCCCAATGGTAATTTGGGTTATGGTAGTCCCTCTCCACCTACAACTAGCGATTTCATGAAAGAAGCTAGTGTTTTGATCCCCACTTTCACCCTCTTAACCCTAGACCTTTGATACCGGTTAGTTTCTTCTTGTTTTAAGGTGTCTACAAGTTCTACTCTAGCATTGGCCCCGAATCATGTAGTACTTCCTTATTGAGGTCTCTACATTCCTACTCATCTAGGGACTGATGCTGGAGTTTAGGGAATGAATTTCCTGTCTGAAGTTGCCTAGAAGGTCATGTTTTCCAAATTTCAATGGAGTTTTTAAGAAACTGCAGCTTTTTGGTAATCCGAAAACCCACCTAACCATGGACTTGAGAGGACCACCCATGGTCAATTTGTGTAGAAAATTCACCCTCATCCAGCCAATCAATTCAAACCTATACGGTTTGTTAGTCCTCAGGACAAGATGGATGTCTATCATGAATGGTTTGTGGTTCAAGGTGGAGTTAGGGAAGCATTCGGAAGAAGTCTTGGGAAGTAGGAATCCAAAACTCTAGAGGCCAAAATCAGTCGAACATCGTGAGAAGGGTGTTTGAGTGAGTGGGATCTAAGTGAGGCTTTATTGATCGACAAGGTTAGAAAATAACTCATGCTAGGGGTGATTCTACTATTTTTTATTTATGTCGTGTACTCAACAGTTCACATTGAAGTCTCCGCCTATGATCCTAGCTTTAGCCAAAGATACTACGAGATATAGGGAAATTTGGTCCATAAACCATGGACAACTTCCAAATCAGTTGGTCCGATATAATGTTTTGAAATGCGAGATGCGGCCGTATGCGTTGGTGGGGCCAATGCGGCTCGATATGGTCTGGATGCGGGTGCATCGCCGCATGCAGTCAATGAATACAAAAAAAATCTAAAAAAATAGGTTAATGCATAGAAAAAAATATAGAGGTGATATATGTGATAGTAGGTATTTAGCAATGTTCAATAAGACGGAGGTGGCCACCTAGGTGGGCGCCCAGGCCCAAACGCGACCGGTGTTTCTTTTTTTGGATATGGATATCAACCTCCATTTTATAACAAGTGATGAGAGAGAGAACTGAAGCAAATAATGTTAGGGCTAGAGAGAGAAAGGTGGGGTTGTAGCCTAGAGAGCAAATAATGTCAGGACTAGAGAGAGAAAGAAGGTGGGGTTCTTGCAGCCTAGAGAGAGAAGGTGATGTAGTCTAGAGCGAGAGAGAGAGCATGTGGGGCCTTAGAGAGAGACGACAATGGAGTTTTGTGAATAAATTGAAGAAAGGTGTCTGCCCTTTAGAGAGAGACGACAAAGGAGTATTGTGAAGAAAATGAAGAAAGGGTTTTATGTTTTAGAGAGAGAGAGAGCATTAGTTGCTTATTTATTTGTAAGAGAAGGTTACTTACTATGTTATTTAGAAGTAACGGTTTTGGCTTTTATTAGTCAGTCAAAGATGTAACTAATTTCTTATTAAAAATATGATTCTTGTAAAAAAAAATAGTTTCTTACTATTTTGAGTGCTACTTGTTAGAGCTTTTCCTTTATCTTATAATATTAGGCAATGTCCTAGTGGTTTTTTATTTATCTATTTATTTTTTCTTAAAAACCAAAGTTTTTAGTGAAGAAGGTAATGGAAATAGAGTTCGAGAAAGGTTAATATTTCTTTTCCTTTTTTTTTTTGAAATGGATAAAACGCCTAGGCGGCTGCCTTTTAAATCGCCTA